ACCAATTGCATCACTTGTGCAGTAGCATCCATCATCTTTGTGTACCCTGTTGCAGCAGCATCTAAATGCTCATACTCTGCTGTAGAAGTGGTCAACGCCCTCTCTAAGGGGTCCTCTGAACTCATCTCAGGAAGATCTGATCAGCAATGTCTGTGAGAACATCCACATAAAAATTCTGTCCATCTATGGTTGGCCTCTTCATCAGCTTATCTATTTCAAATTTCATCACTAAATCACCAACATTCAGCTCTATTCTACCCTTCCTGACGTCAATGATAGCTCCTGCAGTAGCTAAAAAGGGTCTGCCAAGAATCAAGGGTCTTTGGGTTCTTCTCCATATTCCAGAACCACAAAATCAGTAGGAATCATGCAATCTCCTACTTTGATATGAACATCCTCTATCACACATTCAGAAACCCTGACTGATCTATCAGCTAGGACAAGAGATATATCCTTGTAGCCTTAAAATCGGTCATCCCCAAGCTTTTGGCAACAGAATGAGGCATAAGGTTCACACTAGTACCAAGATCACACAATGACCTCTCTAACCTATCAGATAAGATTGTGCAGTGTAAAACAAAGCTTTCAGGGTCTGAAAGCTTCTCTGGTACTCTGTTTTGAATCACTGCACTGGCATGCTCGTTGATCATTATAGCTCCAGCCTCTAAACTCAAGTTATTGATCACCATTCTCTTCACATACCTCCTTATAACAGGAGTAATCCTTACAGCATCAATAAATGGGATCTCAATAACCAACTTGTCCATGATAGCTTTGCATTTAGCATCTTCAAGCTCCTGTTTAGACTTCTTAGGATGCTTAGGATAGGGTATCTTGGGCTTATACATTGTCTCCTTAGAATTATCTGAAGTCTTAGACGAATCTGTAGCATGTTGCAATGGGTGACGAGCGTCACTTGTTTTGGACAACTCGTGGTTGTTTGCTTGATTTGGGTGACGAGCGTCACCCTCTTGGTGACGGTCGTCACCAATCTCCAAAGAAAAATCGTCGGGGTTGTGCTTAGTGGGTGACGAGCGACACCCATTATTGGTGACGAGCATCACCCATGGATTTTCAGCAGATATTTCTTCATCTCCATACTCTTCAAGTCCCACAAAATTTCTTGAGCCTAAATCCTTCTGCAACACTGGTTGCAGGTTCTTTCCACTCCTCAATATGATGGCATTCACATGGTGTTTGGGATTAGCATCAGTTCTTCCTGGAAGAAATCCTTCTTGCCTCTGAACAGCTCTTGCAGTTTGGGCAACTTGAACATCAAGCTTCTTCATATGAGAGTTCAGACTCTCAATTTTCCCATTCAGGTCCTGATAGAGCGAATCTATCTTGTCATTGAAGTCCACTGTCAGCTTCTGTTGTCCTTCTAGGATCTGTTCCAGCATTGCTTCCATCTTGTTCTCTTGTGGAGGTGCAGATTGATAGGAAGAAGAACCATAGTTCCAGTTGAAATTTCCACTGTTCTGGAATGGTTTCTGGTACTCTGTCTTATGGAATGGAGGCTTAGGTGTATAACCAGGCGTGCTCTGATTTTCAGTGAAGGTACTCTTCTGATTGTTGATGTTGAAGCCTCTGTTCCACTGCTGATTTCCATACATTTGACCCTGAAAACCGCCAGTATTGATGAAATTCACATCATCCTGCTCAACCTCCTCTGAACCTTCGAAAGTCTCCACCTCTGCAGCAAAATGAACTGACTTCTTTCCCACCAAGAAGCTGTGCATACTGTTCAGCTTAGCCTTAACTTCAGCAATCTGATTTCCATCATCCAAACCAGCTTGTTTCATCCTTTGAAAATCTGCATTCTTGGTGCTGTTGCTGCAGACCAAGTTCTCAATCAACCTGATTGCTTCTTCTGGTCTGTTGGTGTTGAAGTTTCTAGCACTAACTGCATCCAACGCCATCTGGTATTTCCAGTCAATGCCTCTGAAGAAGATCCCAAGTAGTTGCACCTGACTGAAACCATGATGAGGACAGCTCCTTTGATAAGACTTGAATCTTATCCAAGAAGCCTTAAAAAGCTTCAGTAGGTCCTTATGTAAAGGATGCAATTTTCGTCCTCATGTCTTCTGATCTGGCATCATCATAGAAGTTGTTCATAAAAGCATTCATAGTGTCTTCCCAAGTGGTCAGTGAAGCAGGTTCCAGTTGCTTCAACCAATATGCAGCCTCTCCTCCAAGAGAATAAGAGAAACGCTTGCAGAACAGAAAGTCATTGGTAACTCCATTAGCCTTGACACTGGAAGCTAAATCCTCAAACCTCTCAATTTGATTCATAGGATGTTCATGAGGTAAGCCATGGAATGGATGCTGGCCAACCAGCTGATAATAGACATGTTTAGGCTCAAAATCGTTCCTCTAGAAGGCAGGAGGGCGGATTGCAGCTCTGTTGGCATAGAAGTGATCTGGTCTATTGTAGTCTCATAAAGTCCTCTGCACAAAACGCCCATCAGCATTATCAGTAGCAGCAGGGACTCCAGCGTCTTGTCCCACTTGTTGAACCTGCTGTTCCGTCTTCTGAAACTAAAAGATATTCCTAACAGGTAGCAATTCTACAAACTCTTCATCAACCTTTGAAAAAGCCCTAACTTAACTAGCAGATTACTCAGACATGATCATGGAATCACAAAACATAACTGAATAAAATTGCATTAAGAGAAAGAGTAAAGGAATAAGGGGGTTCAAAATCTTCTCAAAAGAGTACAGGATCTGTCTCCCCAAAAAGCTCTGAATAAATCTCTCTCTCAAACTCTCTCAATTCTAAAATCTAAGATCATAGCCAACAATGGCTGAAAAACCTAATAAATATAGGCTAAACACGATCTGGGGTTTTCTTGCAAATATTGGAACTTCTGGGCTAATTCTGCAAATAGTCTTCATACTTTTAATAAATCTGGCCATGCTCCTTCCTTGATGGGTGACGAGCGTCACCAAGGGTGTTGACGAGCATCACCAAAACGTATACTTTCTTCTCCGAGCTAGACACTTCGTGGTTTCAACTTGCAATGCTCCAAAAAGCTTCAATATCCCCAATTATGCTCTAGACATGCTATAACCTGCAAAGACTCTACTAGGACCCTAAAAAGACCAAAAAAACTCAATAAAAGGGACTTATATCATGGTTAAAAACCATAAAAACCATGATATATCACCTAGCTCAAGAGATTGACTGTCTAGAGAGTGATTTGGCAATATAGGATTGAAAACGCATACTTTCTTCTCCGAGCTAGACACTTCGTGGCTTCAACTTGCAATGCTCCAAAAAGCTTCAATATCCTCAATTATGCTCCAGACATGCTATAACCTGCAAAGACTCTACTAGGACCCTAAAAAGACCAAAAAGACTCAATAAAAAGGACTTATATCATGGTTAAAAACCATAAAAACCATGATATATCACCTAGCTCAAGAGATTGACTGTCTAGGGAGTGATTTGGCAATATAGGATTGAATGATTGTCTTAATGCTTGCTGTTTATCATTTTATTAATGAGAATTAGTTTTTGACTTGGTAATTAGTGAAGAGGTTAGTGCCAAGAGATTGGATTAATCATATAAATGAATTATGTGCATAAGGAATAGCATTGTCTGAGTTTGTAAGCATCATAAATTGAGTAGAGAGTTCCCTAATACCAATTATCCCATCTTAAGTCCTGTCTTTCCTCTATTTTTTGGTTAAGTTCGAAATTGCTCTGTTTTTGCTTATGATTTAGTTGTTTTGCTTGCTGCTCACTCTTGGTTTGGTGTTTGCTTCAAGTTGCTTTGATTTTTTAGGTTGTTAGACTTTAATCATTTCTATTCCTGCTTGAATTAGGAACTCTTTTGCACTCTTGATGTATCAAACATCCCCTTATGAATTGACTAAACTCAATGCTACAATGACTAATGTGGGTTGAGGATTGAGAAAGGATAAAAAAAATCTACAACATGTGGATACAAAACCTGGCTGAAATTGGTAAACATCGTAACTCGATGCTGCAACAGAGCTTTCTCACTGCAGCTGCTTGCTGAACGAAAACAAAACCTCCAAAATTAGAGAGATATACCATTGCAAGAAAGAAAAAGAAGCAATTTGTGGATTCAAAAAAAAAAACAGATTTGGTAAGGAGGAGGAAGACAATAATTTTGAGATTTTTAGGTTAAAATGTATTAAGGGTAGTTTCGATTTTTAACATTGTTCATACATTTCACACACTCACAAAACTCCTAAAAATACTTAATAAGTAAAAAGTACCTTTTTGTAACATAAAACTCAAAAAATGTATCTACATGTAAATAACTCAAATTCATAGCTATCATAAAAAATGATTCTTAAAGAAATTTGGTATGGAAGCCTGTTTAGTCGAGTAGTTAACTTAGGTTCATTAATGTTTATATATCAGCAGATATGAGTTTTGATTTCAAGAAAATACAATTTCTACAAGTTATATTATAGACAAGCAGATAAAAAAAACTTTTAGCATGATACAAAAAAACTATCTATAGTGGGCTCGTACATTTATTGTAGATATTTGTAGAATAGATAAATTGTCATAAAAAGTATCATTGTTATTATCCACATAACTCATAGTAATTTAGATGACTTAACAAAAATTGGTATATTTTGGTTAAATTTTATATATTTCAGAATTTTTGTTACTTTAGTTCTTCAGCTATATTTATAGGTTGAAAATAGAACAAGTTCCAATAACAAATTAGAAGAAAAAAGAAATAAAAGAAATATTTTGGTTCATATTTCGAACCGAAACAAACCAGAAACCAAAGTAGTATCGATCGGTCTGGAGCTTAAAACCGGAAAGTTTGGTTCGGTTGATCCGGTTTGGGACAAATACCCAGGCTAACAAAATGTGTGAAACTGTGAATTACTTACCATCACGGAATGCTTTATACATTTCAGTTGACTTTTCACTTATTGTCCACTAAAAGTCCAGTATCGTGGTAAAATTCACTTCGAGAGAAAATCCAATTACTGCTTTCAGCCATGAAAGCATCTGCAATTTTTTTTCTAGTTCGGATAAAAAGGTACCCTTTAGAGAAAGAAAAATCAACATCTAAATAATAATGAGCTACTAAAATTAAAGAGCATCACCTACTTTTCTGTCTTCTTTTATCTTCGGCCATTGATTGCGCTTTTTGATTGGAGTGCAAAGATTCCACATTCCTTCTTCTTCTTCCCCGCACGTCCTCTCCTGTCTATTCTCTTGTCCTCCATTTCATAGCCAATCTTTTTCTCTGTACTTCACTCGAATTTCTCTCTAAGTTTCACATTCTTACTCAATTTCGAACCTCTCTGTTTTGTTTCATCAAGAAATCGACAATGTCGTTTTCATGACTCGTTGATTCTTATTTCTTGTAAAGAAATACTGGGTTTTGGGTCTTTTTCAATTTGAATTGCTTCGTTTCCTGAAGCTATTGAAGTCATGCAGACAATATGTTCGATGATATTACTGTTAGTGATGATGATGATAAGCGTTTCAGGTTTTTCAGACTTTGAGGCTCTTTTGGATCTTAAGAAAGGCATAGAGAAAGACCCTTCTGGTAAAGTTTTTACTTCTTGGGATGCAAAGGCTTTATCCTCTGATATGTGTCCTCAAAATTGGTATGGAGTTTTTTGTGATAGCGGAGATGTTACTTCCATAGATTTGAATGGTTTAGGTCTGCTTGGGAATTTCAGTTTCCCTGTCATCGTTAGTCTCCGAATGCTTCAGAACCTCTCGATTTCGAATAATCAGTTTACTGGAACACTCTCAAAGATTGGTTCTTTCAAGTCTCTCAAGTACTTGGATGTCTCTAATAACAAGTTTCATGGCTCATTACTTTCTGGAATTGAGGATTTGAAGAAGTTGGAGTTTTTGAATCTCTCTAGTAACAAAGACTTAGGAGGAGTGATTCCTTCTGCGTTTGGTGACCTTGAGAAGCTGAAGTACCTTGATTTGCAAGGAAATAGCTTCTCAGGGGAAGTGATGAGCTTGTTTTCCCAGCTGAATAGTGTGGAGTATGTAGATATAAGCAGGAACCGCTTCTCGGGTTCGCTTGATCTTGGTCTCGCAAAGCCGAGCTTTGTTTCCTCGATTCGGTACTTGAACGTGAGTGGGAACTCTCTTGTTGAACAGCTATTTGCTCATGATGGCATGCCGTTTTTCGATAGCTTAGAGGTGTTTGATGCTAGCAGTAATCACTTGTCTGGCTCTGTTCCTGTCTTCACTTTTCTTGTCTCTCTCAAGATCCTTCGGTTACAAGACAACCAGTTCTCAGCTTCTTTACCACAGGGTCTTCTGCAAGAGAGTTCAACCATCTTAACTGAGCTAGATCTTAGCACAAATCAACTTGAAGGTAAAAATACTCTATATGAATATTGTTGCCCTGACTTTCAATTTCAGGAGTTCTTTAACATCTTTAATACCTGTGGCAGGTTCTGTTGGAAGTATAACATCTTCAACGCTAAAGAAACTCAATTTGTCTTCAAATAGACTATCAGGTTCCTTACCTTTGAAGGTAGGACATTGTGCCATAATTGATCTCAGTAACAATAACATCTCAGGAGAGTTTTCGAGGATACAGAGTTGGGGAGATTACGTAGAAATCATCCGGTTAAGTTCAAACTCACTCACTGGAACACTACCTGGCCAAACTTCTCAATTCTTGAGGCTGACTTCTCTTGAGGCTGCTAACAACTCGTTGCAGGGTGTGCTACCATTTACATTAGGAGCTTATCCTGAGCTGAAACGGATTGATCTCAGTCACAACCAGCTCAGCGGTTTCTTACCGGCGAATTTGTTAGTGTCTGAAATGTTGACTGATCTCAACCTGTCAAACAATAATTTCTCCGGTTCACTTCCTCTTCAAGATGCAAGTACGGTGGGCAACCTGAGCTTGACTAACATTGATCTGTCACATAACTCCTTAGGTGGAGTTCTCTTGGAGGAACTAACTCGGTTCCGGAATTTGGTTTCTCTTGACCTTTCTTATAACAGCTTTGAAGGGAATCTTCCTGATGGCCTCCCAGAAAGCCTAAAGGTATTCATTGTCTCTGCCAATAATCTCTCTGGAAAGCTACCTGGGAGTCTTAAACGGTTTCCAGATTCCGCGTTTCATCCAGGGAATGCGTTACTGATCGTCCCCATTTCTTCTGAATCACCGAAAGATAGAGCAGATGTAACCTTGAGAAAGCATGGTTATCATATGAAATCTTCTATAAAGGCAGCTCTGATTATAGGCTTGGTCGTTGGTGCTGCTCTACTTGCTCTTGTTCTTGCATTGTTTCATTTTATGCTAAAGAAGCAACATGACGAAGAGAAAGTGGATGTAAATGGAGAAAAGAGTAGTCTGCAAAAGACTGAACCTTCTTGTCTTTCTGATGTGATTGCAGAGAAGAACGGTGTACACGAAACTGAACCTTCTTCTTCTGTTACTTCTACTTCCACAATCAAGACCAACGTACCGGTTTCTTCTCCACGTCTTTCTCAATACAGTGACTCTGAGAATTCTTCATCATTAAGAAAAGATGAAACCTTGTCATCTCGAGTTTCTCTTGTATCTTCTTCAACTCCATCGGTGTCAAGAATCCAGAATTCACCAGGCCAAACTTCTGTGAAATTGGATGGGAACCTGTATATTTTTGACAGTTCTCTCAAGCTTACAGCGGAGGAACTGTCTCGTGCTCCGGCTGAAGCTATAGGAAGGAGCTGCCATGGAACTCTGTACCGAGCAGTGCTGGATTCGGATTCAGTATTAGCGGTCAAATGGTTAAGGGAAGGGACTGCAAAAGGAAAGAAGGAGTTTGCAAGGGAGATTAAGAAACTTGGGAACATCAATCACCCAAATCTTGTTTCTCTTCAAGCTTATTATTGGGGACCCAAAGAACATGAGAAGCTCATCATATCAAGATACATTGATGCACCCTGTTTAGCTTTCTACCTCCAAGGTAAAGACTTTCTAGAACAAATTTGGTGTTATTGACTCAAAACATGAATCTCACTCTCTCTTTTGTCTGCAGAGGCTGGAAGGCTAAACCTCCCACCATTGTTGCTAGAAAACCGTCTTAAAATAACTCTGGACATAGCCAGTTGTCTTACTTACCTACACGATGAGGAAGCGATTCCACACGGGAATCTAAAATCGACGAATGTTCTCCTGCAACCCCCTGAACTCACAGCACTCTTAACAGATTACAGCCTCCATCGGTTAATCACACCGGAGGCAACATCAGAGCAAGTCTTGAATGCAGCTGCTCTTGGCTACTGCCCTCCGGAGTTTGCAAGCTCGAGTAAACCGTACCCCTCTCTGAAAAGCGATGTGTATGCCTTTGGGGTAATTTTGTTAGAGCTTTTAACGGGAAAGATATCGGGAGATATAGTTTGTAGCGATCCAGGGGTCGTTGAACTCACTGAATGGGTTGTAATGCTTGTTGGACAAAACAGCGCGGCTGAGTGTTTTGATCGGTCCATTATTGAGTCACAAGGCTCAAGGAATGCTGCCTCTGGAGTTCTTGCTGATGTCTTGCAGGTTGCTCTGAGCTGTATCTCGCCGGCACCAGAGAGGCCGGACATGAAATCTGTTTGTCAAGAGCTTCTCAGAATTGTTATCAAAAGGACAAAGTAGAAGATTTTTAGATTCTGTCGTCACTCTCTTTGTGAATGTAGATGTAAAAATGCGCCTTTGTCGGATTAATTTGGATTCATTTGTGTTGGTACCATAAAAAAAAAGTGAAAATGTAAATCTAAATCGAATAATATTGATGTATTATATATTTCATTGCTGATGATTAACAATGCATTTAAAATTAATTCATGAGAGGATCCAAAAGAAATGAGAAAATTTGAGACTAATAGATTTTGTGATGGAGCGGAAGCTACTACGGATAGAACTAGATCCGTTGATTCTGAGAATACTCGAAAACAAGGGTTTGTGAATACTCTTCACAGTGGTTTATCAAAACCTCTTTTATGAAATCTCCTTTTTATTAATTCATCAAAGTCTGAATTACAATGAATGCATAAACGGCTTATTTATAATAAATCATAAAAACCCTAGAATATTCTAAAAAGCTCTAAATAATAATTAATAATTATCAAAATACACAAATAAATAAATAATAAATATATTTAAGATATTTAGAAATATTCAAAATATTACGCTGCATCAGGTCTCGCCGGCCAAGAAAGATTCGTTCTCGAATCTTCAACCGGTTTTTCCATATTGGTTTAATGTTTTCTTGTTGGTAATACACGATTTTTGCACAAACCGGACTTTGTACAAAATTTGCACAAACCGAATCCGCACCGATTTTGCACGAACCGAACTCATCACAGATCTGCTTCTCTTGCGACCTAGACGATCTTCGATTCTGCTCGAACTTTGCACGGATCTGAATCTGCACGTTTTTCGCACGAATCCGATCATGCACGAGTTTCGCACCAACCGGATTTTGCACGAAACTTATTCCAATCTGACTGTGCACGGATTTTGCACGCACCAAATTCTCAAAGGAACCTTGTTTGAAGATAAAGTCCATAACACGAACATCATCTTCATAGACGTCGTAGATCGGATCACCATAGATTTCTCTACAAATCTTTTGGCTCTCTTCTCTCTCGACAAAAGGACTTTCGTCCTCGAAAGTGTAGATGCAACTACTCACCATGATCCAGAATCGTTCTTTGATTAAGAAATCAAAGAGACGCTGCTCTGATACCAACTGATGGAGCGGAAACTACTACGGATAGAACTAGATCCGTTGATTCTGAAAATACCCGGAAACTAGGGTTTGTGAATACTCTTAACAGTGGTTTATCAAAACCTCTTTTAAGAAATCTCCTTTTTATTAATTCATCAAAGTCTGAATTATAATGAATGCCTAAACGGCTTATTTATAATAAATCATAAAAACTCTAGAATATTTTAAAAAGCTCTAAATAATAATTATTAATTATCAAAATACACAAATAAATAAATAATAAATATATTTAAGATATTTGGAAATATTCTAAATATCACGCTGCATCATTTTGATTAGATCGTCTGATAAATTAACGGTCGTCCCTTTAGCTATGATACAGAGCAAGAAACGCACATCATATTGTGTGACGAGGAAATTTGAGAAGAGAAATGGCTGAGCAGTCGAATAAGGAAGAAGAAGATCAAGTTGGCGAAAGACATATTAGAGGCCGTCTTACTTTATGAATAAATGCCAGCACGTCATTGCAACTTTAATTTCTCTAGGCGGATAATTGCTTCAATTCGTTTTTTTTCTTTTATAAGATTTCAGAATTTTCTTCTTTTTTTGTGATTTCACAACAATCTCTTCTTCTTTTTTTCAGTTTTTGATTATACTAAACTTAAATTCAGATTACAATAAGAACAAACACAAAACTTTTTTGCCGAAAAGTAAAGGCTACTTGTTACATAAATGAAAGACAATACATTAAAAGAATATGATATAGTGACTTATTTTCCGTTGATTGTATCACAAGGTATATTATGATGAGTTTGCAGATATCTTGAAATATGATAAGTAGGGAATAATGAAGATGAGTGAAGTATATATCATGGCTTAGTCGATTGTGAGAGGTCAGAGGCAAAGCTTTCAGGGGTTTGATTTAAACTGTAGATAATGAATGAGTTAGTAGATTAATGTTAGAGGAGAAATGAGCATATTTCCTAAAAAGCTTTCTCTAGCAATAACTTAAGTCCACCAAAATAAAGAAAACTATGTCGGCCTAGCTCAGAGAAAAGAAAAACTCCTAAAGATAATTTTCAAAGTCTGGAAGCATTGGAATTGACTCGAAAGATAAAGGAGAAAATCCATATTCTTCGGAGAATAACAGATATTTCCGTATCACAAATATGAAAATATTCACAAAAAGGAAAAAGAAAAAGGAGTTCGGAACAAACAACCTCCTATCCCTATAAATAAGAAGACCCCGAAGCTGAAGAGGCCAACTCATACAATCTAGAGAGCAGCAGAGCTAAAACCAGGAACTCCAACGCTTTCTAGTTTACCTCGCAAATACTTTCTTTTAATCTCGGCATAACCTCTCGGTTAAGCTATCTCTTGTAATCGCTTCGTCTTAAAGCTATTAATAAAAAGATCTTATTCTCCAAAACCCACAACTGTTAATCAAATCCCTAGTGGTGATTTTCGGGTTCAACAGTTAGCGCCGTCTGTGGGGACTATGAGAATAAAATTCTTAAAACTAGCAACTACAGAGCCGAAGCAATGAGCCTCCCAATCAATAACAGCGACCTCACCCGCAACAACGATGAAACCACCACACATATGGAGACGTCTGGTCTTCACGAGCATGGCAACCATACTACCGCGAAACCACCCGCGGGAGCACCCTCAGCTCCTATCCTCGCCACCGATCTTGCAGCAGAGATCCAATCTGCCTTGCTCCCCCTTACACAAAACCTGGTGTCCAAGCTAGACACCCTTCAGGCCCAGCAGGCCAAGTATGACGAGCAGCTCAGCGCCTTAACGGCCGCGACCACCTCAAGATCAGAACCGATCGGACGGCGATTAGTCTTTGAGACACCAGCAAACTCGAGGCACAGCACCGGTTAATAAGGAACCATCAGGCAAACTAAATTCCGAGATCGCAAGATTGCACCAGCAAATTAACGCGATTGGATCTCAAATCCACCGTGCCACCAGCTCGGCCATCCTATCAGACGCTGAACGCAACCCGTTCGCCTCCCGAATCACAGACGTTCGACTCGGCGAGGCGATCAAAGTAAAACTCCCATATTACAATGGGATGGAAGACCCGAACCTATGGTTTACCGGGTTCAACGTCGCCATGAAGAGGCAACGGTTCGAAACCGACCTCAAACGCAAAGCCAATCACTGTCAGACCTTCATAGAGCACCTCAACAAAGATGCTCTCAAGTGGTTCTCCAACCTCCCGCTGGCATCGATCAAATCCTTCAAGGATTTGACCCACGCCTTTATAAAACACTACTCTATGTTCATCAGGAAGAGGACGGTCAACCTATTTACTCTAGTACAAGAGCGCGACCAACCACTTCGCGATTTCATCAAAAAATTCAAGAACGCCGTCGCGGCATACTGCCAGATCCCACAAGCTTTAGTCATCGAGGCACTCATGGACGGCCTATGGTTTCAATCCTCCTTCAAGGAGGATCTGCAGAAGAACCCGAAGGAAACCATAGAAGACGCACTTCACCGATCTCAAACGTTTTTGATGCCAAGAAGCACGGCATGGACGTGGCAAGCACCTCGCAATATAAGGATATCGCAAGCAAAAGCAAGCCATCCTCCCATGCTGTTGTGGCTACCAGAGAGAAGCCCTGGAATCAGTGGACCCGCGGCGATCCTCCAAGAAATTCAGACGATAGGGACGACAACCACGATCTCTACTGCTCCTTCCACGGGCGATCAGGGCACGCTACCTCGGCCTGTCGACACCTCCAGAACTCGTTGTATGAAAAATACAAAGAAGGCAAAATTGACGTTGGTGGCGATCGATCCCAGAACAAAAGTTCCTACTCCCGCAGTTCCAATCCTAGGGACTCACGCCAAAGCACCTCCAGCAAGGATCGCCGAGATCCAAGGAAAAGCAGCAGCCGAAGCAGTTCCGGAGGAAGACGCCGAAGTCGTTCGCCTGAGAAAAAGCGTGAAGAAAAAGAAAAAGATAAAGGAGCGGCGCACGAAAACGATGAAGGCGAACATGACAATCCACCCCCTCCACCTAAGCGACGGGTAAACATGATCATGGGAGGACTTCCCGACTGTGACGATTCAGTCCGCGCCATCAAAGAGTATGGCCAAAAAGCAATCACTTCACGAAAGTTCCCTCGCCCCATGGACTACCATCCGACAATCACGTTCACTTCGAAGGACATGCTTGGGCTACACACCCCTCATAACGATCCGCTGGTTGTCGAGTTACACATCCACGATAGCGAGGTGGCCAAAATATTGGTGGACACCGGCAGCACGGTCAATATCATCTTCAAGGATACTATGACCAAGATGGCACTCCACGATAGAGACATCAAAGCGGTGCCAAAGCCTTTAACTGGTTTTGCCAGCGATTCCTTCTTTAGCCTCTGCACCATACGTCTAATAGTCTACGTCGGCGGAGTGACAAAGATTTTCAAATTCACCGTCATGGATAAACCAGCGATCTATAATGTCATAATTGGCACACCTTGGATCCACGAGATGAAAGCTATCGTCTCGACCTACCACCAATGCATGAAGTTTGTTACCTCGGTCGGCATCTTCACGCTTCGCGACAATCATCAGATGGCAAGATCCTGTTTCATTAACAAACGCAAGGTGCGACTCTCTGCAGCAAAAGCCCTCGAAGAATTCCAAACAAGCGGAATATATTCAACAAAGAATCTTGCAGCTTTAATACTTAGTCTTTTCTCTTATTTTATCAATAAGGGCCGGTTTGGCCCCTGAGTGATAAACACTCATTCCATAATTGTAGCGAACTACGAACGGCTTGATCCCAATTTAGATACGTAGGCAACCTCCGTTGTAGCTGTAAATTTATTAAATTTTTATTCCGGAAATACAGCTCGGCACGTAGAGTCGTTGTTTTCCTTATGTGAATGCATCTTGCTGAATCGATGTTCTGGCCAAACATTCAACTCGAAAAAGCAAACACAAAAACTAAATTAGTGGCTGATCACCACTCCTTTGATACTTCAGTTCGATTTCATTATTTCCGAGGTGGATAAAACGAAAGCCGAGGACAATACTCGCACGTCCCTCGATCATACCTTTCAGGCCGAAGTGAATCCTGAAAAGCTTGGTATTT